CAGTAAGTTTTTTCTCGTTTGAATCCTATTTCTTACACACTTAATAATATTTGAATAGGTGTCAGTAGAACAGATACAACAAACGGATTTTCTTCGAAGAATGCATTCCATGTATTTTTGTTTCAAGTTAATTAGGTTCTGCATCAAAGTATGTGCTCTATAATAACTCTTGCTTATTTAAGGTTACACAGTACTCTTTTTGCAAAAAAAAAACCGGGAGGGGGGACAGTAATTGTAAAAGTAATTTGTGTTTTAGTTTTAGATTATATATATATATTTATTAAGTGGATTCTGAATGTAGAAAGTCAGTTTGACCAGCTATTGTCTTACAATTTTAAGAAATTAAGAATTTTTAAAGCTTTTTTTAAATTTTTATAAAATGCTCAATTTTTAAGATTTTTTAGTCTCTTAAGTGATTTATGTTTCTTAGATTATTGGAAACAAAAGCTAGTATGGATTTGAAAGTATTTTCTTGTTGATTTTTAATAATTGTTTTTATAGATAAATCTGGAAAAAGTACGAAAACTCTTAAAATATATAAACTTAAGCCTTTTTTTAAAAAGTAGCTAGAGATCTCAGACTTAAATCTGTTCTAACTTGTTTAGAAAATATATTTGGGAGTATATACAAAAAATTTCAAAACTATCTTGACCAGAAACAAAGCGTTAGGGATTAGAAAATACTTACATCTTCAAAATTAAAAGTCTGAGAAAAACGTATTTAATGTTTGTAAAAGCATAAAACAAAAATTTATAATGCCTATAAAGCTCTTATTTTTTAATGTGTTATTTTACAACTTATATTCTACATCAAAACAGTACTTTTTATTTATGACTGAAAACATTCTTTTTAATTAAAAATAGGCTCTTTAGCTTAATATTGATAGCATTTGTTTAGAAGACAGTTTATTCCACTTTATCTTAACCTAATATTTTCACAAAAGTTTTGAAACACAAAGCATTTATGCACAAAATAATACTTTTTCTAAGTTAAAAATCGCTAGGTTTATACATAAAGTTTAAATTTTTTTCAGTTTTAATTTGGTGGCAGTTCAGCAAGTTTGAGTTTTTAATGCATAATTTTAATATACTAAAACATAGTACTACAATATGTTTACTATAATGTAGTTTGATACATGAAAACAAATTCAGTTTTATCTGCAATACTTGTATTCGTAAATCTAATTACAGTATCAGTGAAGGGCTAGTTTTTAGATATATCATTTTCAGTACTATTCCCCATCCCTTCTGAAAATATTGTTTGTCATAGCAACCTGAAAACGTTTGGGCCACACACATGGTATTTTCTCAGTAGGAAAAATAAATGACAAAGCTTCTAAGTTGCATAAACTATTTTTTAAAACAAAAAAATTGGCCTTGAAGTCTATCTTAATTAAGTAACTATGAGAATTCAGAAACTCAAAACATAATTAAGCAGAAGTATAATTTGAGAGATGAAAATTTAAACTAATAATCATTTCTCGCTGAAAGAGTTGATTATAATCATAAATATTTTTAAATACAACAATTAGTTCAATTTAAGAATGGGAAAAATGCTAAGACCTAAGCTCAGAAAACTTCAAATATCTTAAAAATTAATTGGCTTTCACATCTGAAAGAAAGCTTTCCAAATATATAAATCATAGAAAAACGTTTTTTGAAAAAAGAAGGAAAAAAAAAGGTTTTTGATATTTTTGTTTTTGTAGGGTAGCGTTTGAAATATTTCCTGCTTCTTATGTTCCTTATAATAAAGGGGGGAGTAATTATCTTCTTGGATACTTTAAGTGTGAATATTGACACCATCTCTTTACTCATCGCATGTTGAAATGCGTTGGTCACATGTAAGTAGAAAATCATATTTCGTAAGAAATAAAAATAAAATATAATAGCAAGTAAACTGATTTTTAATTTATGCTAGAGCGCATTAAAACGACAACAGGTTTCAATCATCTAGAAAGCTCATCCTGTCATCGAAATCAGAGATGATCGCTTTCCTGCCATTGAAAGGTGACCTTAAACTCTTTATGCTATACTAGGCATGCTAAAATATTACATTCTCTAAAAAAAATTTCAGTTAGATCTACTTAAAACCGTTCATTACTTTATAAACCTCTTGCATTCATTTCAAAGCTCTCTCTAATTCTGATGATGCTGAGACGACGGTCGACGTCAGTCAAGCGAGGATCTTAATGCACACTCTAATCGCACAACACAGTGCTATCAAGAACACGAAAGATGACAGAGGGGACTTTCAATATCGTCAGCATCAAAACAGGTAAGTATTGCTTGTGAAATGTGCGACCGTAGCTGATAATCAGGTATTGTTATTTAGTTGATGAACTGAAGTTGAACAAAAGCATAAGAATAAAAAGAAAAGAAATCATTCAGGGAAAGCCTCTGGGTCAGATAAAAATAACTGTAGACTTATGATGTAATATATGAATTTA